TAGTGGCGAGTAAAACACATCTCATTTCCAAAGGTATTTTGTAAGTGCATTTTAATTTAAAAAATGGAATTTTGAGGCAGAAGAATGCTAGCGAACTCAGTTGACCACTATCTTTTAAAAATAGAACACAATAGAGTGTCAGTGGATATGGATAAACACAAATAGTGTACTTCAGTGCAAATATGAGGGGCTTACAAAAGTTCATGGAAAAATGAAAGGAAAAATAGTGGAATTTTCCCCCATGAGCTTTTGGAAGCCTTGTCGTAAACCTACGTATTCTCGGGGCTTACTTAAAAATTAAAGGGAATGTAGTCGTGTGAAACACTAGTCCTAAAATGTTAAGTTAGCCCAGCAATTACATGAGACTTCAATCAACAGAAAGTACTCCCTTCAGATATCTGGAAAATACTGCATTATTTCGAGATGTTTGCATATGCCAAATTATGTGTAGATTTCAATTAAACCTAGACTTGCAGATTTTAGTTTAATAAACTTGTCAATGTTTGAGCTTTACTGGTAACTAGACAGTATCAACAGTCTAGTAAATACTTATAATGTCAATGAAATAGTAATATATAGAAATATTAAGAGTAGGAATAATACCCAGCTCCCATGACTGGTATAAACTTACCATATATACTCATGTATTAGTTGAGTTTTTCAGCACCTTTTTTATATGCAGTTTTTGTGGTAAAAAGGTGCCTCGGCTGATATTCAGGTCGGCTTTTCCTCCTTTATCTGAGGTTTTCCTGCCGAGTGCTCAGGTATGATTTCACCTTCCCCTTCTCAAGCAGTCTTTAAATATCTGTCCAAGGAGAAGGGGAGCTGGCTCTCTGGCATCTTAAAATAGGTATTCTCCACCTCCCGGTCTCCCCATAAAGGAAGCAGGTCGGGGGGCTCATTCTGCAGGCTGTTTGTGTTATAAGTCATCAACCAGGACACGGTCTGTTTTAGAAGCTGTCAGTCATTCTACTCTTAAGCAAAGTCATTAAAAAGCAAATAGTGTATTTCAGCCTTGAACATAAAGGAAGTTCACCCAATGTTAAGAATATCTGGATTTCATATTCAGAAGGAAAGATGTAGCCTGTGCTGATCCCTCAGACGGGCTTCAAAGAACCACCGGGGGCCTCAGGGCTTCAGCTCGCTACTGAGCCCTGTTTCTGCTGCTCTCCCGCTAGGGTCTCAGCGCGTCTCAAGGGCAGTTGGCTGTCTGGCTAGCAGCTGCCAGAAGGGAGGCTAACAACTTAGAATACAATGCATTCCTGCACTAGTCCATACCCGTTCTATCTCTAAGAGATCTGTAGATTCAGACAAATCCAAACTTGTGTCTGGGCATAATGATTTTTGTTGCGGTAGCATCCTCCATGACCTATAGAAAGTGATAGTAAAGGTCATTGTTAGTCATATTTCCAAATGTCCAGTAGCCAGCCGGAATAGGCACTTTCAACCGTGTACCTATTTCCATTGAGCAGCAGTCAGGAACCCCCTAATTTTTTTATTATTATTATTTTTAGGGTAAAATAATTAGATGCCGTCAGGTTGGTTCCGACTCATGGTGACCTTAGGTGTAACAGACTGAAGCTCTGTCCAGTCTGGTGCCAGTGTGTGTGTGCGCCGTGCTGTGGCTTTTGTGTCATTGGATCTCATTGAGGGTTGGCTTCATTTCCTTTAGCCCTCTACCGAATATGGTGTTCTTTTCTGATTGGTCTTTCTTTCCTGGTGAATAGAGATAGAGCAAAGAAATCGCAAATCACTGGTGGATATCCATATGGCTTTATTCCAAAATAGAGAGCCACTCCCACTGAGGTGTTTGCCTCAGCAGATCAAGTCTTAAGAGAAATGGGTAGGGGACTGCTGTCGTCTAATTCAGCACTTCTCTTCCATCTTGTCTCTTTAAGGAAAAAACTATGTATTCTCTCCCTGTTCTCATTTGGTCCCGTTTGCTCTCAGTGTTTCCTAGAGTGGGTGATACCACGCCCCCTGGAGAGGGCGGGCAGCACTGGAAAGATGGGGTGTCTGCCAAAGCAGCTACCTACACTTTATTCTGGATTCTAGGTTATACTAGGAAAGTTTTTCATTGTCAGGGGGGTGCAGAGTAATGTGGTTTTTTTCCCCCTGAAAAGGGGATGAAAGGCAAAATAAGTTTGGGAACCTCTACTCTGTATTAATGCTTTGAAATTTGACTTTGATAAGGAACAAGATAATTAACAAAAGGGTAAGATCCTGTTTACTGGAAACTTATTTCATTTGTATGCTTTTCCTCACCTGATTATCTCACCCCTGCCTCTGTCACTTGTACTGCTTTGTTCATTCCTTTTGCTTGTGATCTCCATCACCCAGTCTTCATAGTAAAACTTAGCTGCACGATTTCTGAAGAAGATGATTCCCGCAAGAATAGCATAGTGCCTTGGGCAAGAGTTACAGTCTTATAAGAAGCAAGTCTAGGTCTCCCATTCTGGGAGCAGCATTGGACAAGTTATATATTTGAAAACTGGAGAGTTTATGTAAATACATGGCGGTATGATTAAATTAAAAAACAAGACAAACTCACTGTCATTGAGTCGATTCCAACTCATAATGACCCGAAAAGAGAAAGCAGAACTACCCCTGTGAGTGTCTGAGAGCGTAGCTCTTTATGGGGCTAGAAAGCCCCGCCTTTCTCCTGTGCAGCAGCTGCTGGCTTCAAACTGCTGACCTCTGGTTAATAGCCCCTTGCTAAATGGCTACACCACCCAGGGCTCCTGGGTATTATATTAAGGGTAGGAATATCATTATTACGGAATAATCCTTTATGGTTAACCTAAGTAGCATATAATCAGAAATATGATGGACTATAACTCTAGCCTGATCAATATTGTGTTAAACATCAATTGGAGTTGCTAAGATACCATCTTCAAAACTTGTACATATTTATTCATTCTCTTTACTCACGATCTTCATCACCAAGTCTTCATCATGGTAAAGCTTACCTACACAGTTTCTGAAGAAAACGATTCCAGCAAGAACAGCGTAATGCAGTGGGCAAGTTATAATCTTAGAAGAATCAGGTCTAGATATCATCTTCAAAAGTGTTCTGATATGAAGGTAAGTTAAAAAAAAAAGCGCTGTAAAACCTTATGCTTGTTGTTAGGGGCCATTGAGTCCGTTCTGACCCAGCAACCCCATGTACCACAGAAGGCAGTGCCACCCAGCCCACAACTGTTCAGCTCGAGTTCACTGTCGCAGCCACTGTGCCAACTGGCTCTTGTTTGCCGCCTTCCCCGTTTCGCTCTTGCTTGACAATATGTCCAAAGTACGTGAGATGGGGCCTTGCCAGCCATCTTCCCTTCTAGGGAGCGTTCTGGCTGTATTTCTTCCAAGACAGACCATGGAAACATTTCTTAAAGATTTCAAAATGGGAGGCTATTCTCAACATATCCTCCACCTAGGTCTTTTCACTTCTGAAGGTGGTGTTTCCGTTCTAACCTTTAGCCCAAAGGATTCTGAGCTCCTCAGTTTACACTGCATCAAAAGGGCAGTTTAGCCTTCTTGAAGGCCTCAGCTCCTCTGTGTGTTTGAACTGGAGTTTGCGTTTGGGGAACACCAACAGCAAGTGTGAAGAGACAAGAGCAGGGCTGTTGAGTGGATGGGGTAAGGTTTCTCTATGACATGCTGAAAGGACAGCCTTGGCTGCTCTTGGAGAATGAGCATATTGCTTTCCTTGCTTTTTTCTCACCAATGTAGTTTTCCGTTTTCTTAAAATGCCTTCATAATAAGTGATTGTCTTGTGTCCTTGGAGAAAATCTAACAAAGACTATCGCTTTGGGATGCTAAAATATATGTGGTGTCTCCACATGAGCTGACCTCTCTGCCTTGGATTCTGATTTGAATTTGAATTCGGACTTCCTTAAAATGTTTGCTCCATCTAAAGACTGTTGTTTCATGTAGGTCAGCATTCACATGAACTTGCTCCAGTGCTTCAATGATTTGGGAAGATGCACACTTAGAATTTTGTTAAGATTTTAACACTAACTTTGACCTCAAAATAATATTTTTCCATGGCACAAAAAGTGTCCATATTTTTTGCGGCATTGTAACGAGTTGAAGACAAATGTATCATGGATAGGACGTGTCTTTAGCCATCTACTGGTTTCACAGGCATGTTTAAACGTGTTTCATAGGAATAAAGTCATGCATGAATGAACCGGAACCCACAGAGCAATACTTACAGCCCCATGGTCTAAGACTACATAATGGTATACATTTCAGTCGGGTCTTTTTGGATAAGTCAAATGCTAGGTCATGGTAGGGATAATAACTAAAAACTAATAGAGACATGAATGGTGATATAAGAAAATACTTTGTATAATGTAAAGTTTTGCTTCCAAAAGCCTTTGCAACTGTTTTTATTTTGGTCATCATTTGCATTCATCTTCCCTCTAAAAAAGATAACTCTGTGTTTTATAAAATGCAAAGAATATTGTGAAGAATAAACTTATTAAACTCACAAAGCAATTTAACTAATTGTTTAAAATCTTTGTTTTTTAGAACATATTTTCAGAATTTATCACTATTGAAATGTTATTTCATGGCAAAGCTTTAGAGGTCTATACTGCTGCCTACCAAAATATACAAAAGATTGATGAGGAAGAAGATTTAGAGGTAGGAATGTGAATCTAAACTCAGTTCTTCTCTTAGTGTGGAAACGGTTAAAAGCAAGCAGTGGTTGTGTTGGTAAAACTTCAAATTAGAACACTGTAGCTGTCTTGTTACTGTGTGTGTCCTGAATAGCTCAGTTTTTATGATTTTCTGTTCATATTCAACTTGTCACATTAACCTTGGTAAAGATCCAACAGTATTTTTTGGAGGAAGATGTAAATTTTAATAACTTCTATCCCCAGGGCTGAATATTTTCTTCTGCTTTCCACTTATGACTTCATTGTCCTAGAAGAGTTTAAAAAGAATTTTTTATCCAAAATAGTATGCCCCTCACAAAATCAGTTAATTAGATCAATGGTATGTCCCGTATTTCTACCAGGATGAACTACTCTTAACACGAGACCCACCGCTTAAGTTAATCATGATTTATTCCTGAAGTGCGTGGATGAGCTGCAGGTCTCTAAAGGTGAAACACATGCTTAGAGAAGTCCCTAAGTTTGGGTCTCCTTCCCCCCCCACCCCCACCCCCCCGCACAATATGGGGATCACTTAATGTCAAGTGATGTCAAGATCACTTCATTCCTTGTATGAACACATTCTATATGCCATGCTTCTGTCTTAATGTGAAGGCCTGGTTAAAGGGTAGTCACTAAACATTGTGTATAGCTGAGATCTTTCAGAGGTCCATGACTGGGGGGAAAATAATGGCCTAAGAGAAATCTCTTGAAAAATACTCAAGGTATAAGAGATGTGAAGAAATAGAGCACATAGCACAATAGGAGAGTTTAGGATGGTCTAGAAATCAAGTTTCAAAGACAGGGTCAACTGAAAAGGGAAGCTGCAAAAAAGGCAGGCAGGCGCCCTGATGGTGTAGGGGGTTACTTGTTGGGCTGCTAAACATAAAGTCAGCAGTTCATAACTACCAGCCACCCTGCAGGAGAAAGATGAGGCTTTCCAACTCCAGTAAAAACTTACAGTCTAAGAAACCCACAGAGGTAATTCTATTCTGTCCTATAGAGTCACTATGGCTCAGTAGCAGTGAGTGGTTTTTTTTGGTTGGTGATTAAAGCAAGAGCAATTTTAGTGTAGTGTGTTGATGAGTGAGCAAAAACAGTAGACTATTTGAGACTTTTTAAAGTAGGAGTGGGGAACCTTTTTACTCCCAGGGGGCATTTGGATATTTATCACCTCATCCGAGCACCATAGTGGTCCTACATTTCACTGGCTCCTCCCTCATGTGATGCATGGACTGCTTCTTTGGTGAAGTGTGTGATGTTAGCTGGTATTGAAACGTGCCTCACCGGTTTTAAAAGAATAAGGTTTTACTTTAAGGTAGTCTTTGAAACTGGTCTTGAATTTGCTTATAGAGTAGGGGAGGGAACCTTTAGAAAAAGGAAGCTTTGTTGAAGTTTGGAATAAAGGAAAAATGCATCTTGGAAAGCCTCACAATGACATTTTGCCTTTAAAAAGCGGGGAGGAAGGAATGGTAAAAAGTGAGGTGTAAAGAAGGGACGTTCAAGCGATTCACTTGCGATAGCTTCACTGACTGCTCTATTTCTACAGAGAGAAATGGGGGAAAGTAAAGATAGGGATGCTGGAGATTTGGACCTGCAGCTATAAAAGAAGGAGAGCTGACCAATCCTAGCTGGAGTTCCCAAAACAAAGCAAAACCCTGCCTGGAGTAGATCCCCAAGCACAGTGATTCTACACAGGGCTCCTGGGGTTGTAAATCCTCATGGGAGCAGCCAGCCAGATCTTTTTCCTGCAGAGCAGCTGGTAGTGTGAAACACCAACCTTGCAATTAGCAGTCCAGTGCTTGCCTGACAGCACAGATGAAATTAGAATTCATAAATCACATGGCACCAGTTTACTAATTTCTATAGCAGTCCTGTAGTGAAATTCACCCAGAAAAGAGTGGAGGAATGGCATGAGCTGCAACCTCCCCGCTAGCTTGCTAACTGTCCAGTGCAGGGGACCCTCTGCTTGCTTTTGTGTCTTCCCTGCTAAAGTTTCAATAACTGAATTACAATTCGTAAGCCTCATTATCTTACATGGTTCAAAGAGTTAAGAGGGTTTTTTTTTTTCAAGATTTCGTCTTTCCAAGTTAAATTGTATTTCCTTTTGATTTTCCTTTAAATTTATAGTAAATGATTGAATGTTTGTCTGTTTGGAGAAGTTCGCTTTAAAAAGTCTTAATGTAGAGGAACTAAATTGGGATTGCCTAGATTTCCATGGTTTAGAGTCTACTTTAAGAATAATGTTATTTTATCATTGCAATAGGTTTTCCGGAACTCCCTGTATCCACCAGATTATTCATCTCGATTAGATATTGTAAGAGCAAATTCAAAGTCACCTCTTCAGAGATCACTGTCAGCTAAGGGTATATCTGGAACAGGCCAGGTGAGCTACAAACAAAACATTTTAAAGGAATTTGAGCGTCTGCCTTTGGAGTTGTTCAACAATCAAATATTTCCCTTCCACCATATCACCTCATATGGAATCCTCTCAGGGCTTATTTCATCCTCTGCTATGAAATGAGTAAATGTAAAAAAAAAAAAAAAAGAAATGAGTAAATGTTATTCCTCTTTTATGTTAAGTATCATTTACACTATAATAACATATTGCTCTCCAAAGCAGAACATTTGAGAACAGAAGCGGAAAGGGCAGGCAAATACTACATTGTTCTCTGGTAATCATAGACTATGAAGACCACATATTTTGAAGTCAGACTGTTTAGATTATATCTTGTTATCATGATTTACTGTTCTACACAGAATTGATATCTAAGAGAGGCTGTTGCTAACCATTGTCATAGACCGTAAGGCATAAATCTTTAGAGGAAAATCCAATTTTTTCATCTTTTCTTTATCTAGAAAGCCTGATTTCTAGAACAGGGGTTGACAACCTTTTCCTATAAGGGATTAGAGAGTGATGATTTTAGACTTTGCAGCCCATGTGGTCTGTATCACAATTAAGAGCAGCCGTAGACAAATATATATACCGCATATACTCAAGTATAAGCCAAGTTTTTCAACACATTTTTTAATGCAGTTTTTGTGGTAAAATTGGGTTCCTCGACTGATATTCGGGTAGGCTTTTCCTCGAGTATATCCGGTCACCAGTCTCATTGATTTCCAATAAACATTTATTTTCGAAAATATAAAGCAGGCTTGTTTTGGTCCAAGGGCCATAGCTTGTTAACCCTAGTTCTAGAGAATTGTGCCCTTTTCCTATCTGTGGCTGTAAGATGCCACAGGGTCCACTTTTCACTCTTAACAATCTCACATGACAGAGTGAAACCGCCCCCAGGGATTGTTTTGAGGTTACAATCTTTATGGGAGCGGATCACCAAGTCTGTCTCCCAAGGACGTGATGGGTGGATTTAGCTGCCAACCCTCTGGTTAGCATCCAAGCTTTACTTGTCTACCTTTCAAAACTTCCAATGGAGTAAATTTTTATCAAATTACAACTTTTATAGTAAATTTCACCTAATTCCTTCTTATATTTAAACATTTATTTGCTGCTTTATATATATATATATATATCTCCCCCTAAAAAATTATATTTTTAATATCCCAGCCTAAGTGCCTTACACATGGATTCACTAAATTTAGTATATAGTGGATATGAAGTGTTAACTATTTAGAGCTAGTCGTGCTATCTAAACAGTCCTGTTGGTACAATGGCCAAGTGTCCAGCAGCTACAAAAACAAATGTTGGCAGTTTGAACCCAACAGCTACTCTGTGGGAGAAAGATGTGGCAGTTCTACTCTGTCCAATAGGGTCACACTGTTAAGTCGGAACCAACTGAGCAGCACACGACATTACCTACTTTGATGGAGCACATTAGAACCCTGGCACTATTGAGATTGGGGGCATATTGAACTATTGAGGAGGGAAGCTGGCATCCCATCCACATTATAAAAATGTCAAGCAGCATCCCATCCCTACTCATTAGCTACCAGTAAAACACATATACCAGCCCCAGTTGTGACAACCAACACTATTTCCAGACCTTGCAGAATGTACTCTGGGCGTCATAATCATTTTCAGAAATTTTAAAACTGGCAATAGTTTGGATGTAATGCCAAATAATGGGTTTGGCTCCCATCTTCTATGCCTTTTATTTAAATTTGTGCTACTTTCAAATCAGTATTTCTCACTATCTGGTTTAAATATCTCTGTGTTTTCATTCCTTTGATGATTCTCCTTCATATTTATTTTTATTACCCCTAAATTGCTAAATTTTAAATATTTTTGATATAATATACTGAGTCTAGACTTTTCTCTGAAACACATTATTGAAGCACTGGAGACTATTTGAATGGTTAAATTTACATTATCACTCAGAAATTAATTTATAGTGAATAAATGAAAAAAATTTTGGTACTGTTGCCAACCTTAAAATTTACTAATTTACAGGAAATTTGTTACTGAAAATGGACTGCTTATAAACATTTTGATGAAAGATTTTGTTTTGTATGCACTTGCCTATATCCACTGCCAGTGCTACCCAGTCAATTCCAACTCCTAGGGACCCTAGGTCCCAAGGGTTTCCAAGGTCATACATCTTTAAGGAAACCAGCTGCCTCATCTGTCTCCCAGAGAGCTGCTGGTAGGTTTGAGTCACCGACCTTGAGTTGGCAATCCACCGCTCGGCCCATGGATCACCAGAGCTCCCACTTTGCCTTGGAGGTATAAAAGAAGATTTACCAAGTATATAAAATCATTTAAGTTAATATTTTTATTACTGTTAACTTTTAACAGGTATCCACCTGTAGACTCAGAAAGGACCAACAGACAGATATTGATGATGAAGATGATGAAGAACTAGACACTACAGAAGAAAATTAATTTTCTTACGACTACTTCTGATGTCTGCTTCCATCTTAAAATGGCTCAGAATCTAGGATTACTAAATTGTAAAGCTTTATACTAGCCTGATGGATGGAACCTCAAAATGATATGCTACAGGAAATGTAAAAATAATTAAAGGAAATGTATGCTGACCAAAAATGAAGGTTTTAAAACATATTAGACACCAGCCATTTCAATGTCCTGCCTAGTGATATGTGAGCTCTTTGTGTAAGTTCCTTTTGTTCAGATAATATATTTCTAAGTATTTCATTTTAATAATATAACACACCTGAAAGGTTGCTGCAAGTGGTGGCCAAAAAAAAAAAAAAAGAGCTAGCAGTTCACTGTGCTGCTTTCAGGATACCAGATTTTTATCACTTAAAAGACCTCCTCTCAGTGAGCTTGGTTAAATTCAGTTTATTTTGTGAAGCCCGGAAGAAAAATAGACCTGAGTTCTTTTTCCCTCCCCTGTAACTGTTACTAAAACATTACTGCCATCATTTGATCTACAAATTTACCTTGCAACAAGCATGGGATCAGAATTATTTAAAAATAAGACACCACAATATCAATGTTTTGCAAATATGCAGAAAGCATATATCTTAGGCTTTTTAATGTTTTTTAGAAAAGGCATATTCAACTTCTAATTTTAAAACAAAATTGTTGTCAAACTAAAAGTGTGATAGATACATGGTACAACTCGTGCAAAGCTAATATACGTGGTACAACTTGTGGAATATTGCCTAAGGAAATAAGTGTATGTGGGATATAATAAATCATTAAAAATTCTATTAAAATTTTACCCAATAACCATCTACTCAATAAGGGTACACAAGGGGCTTCAGAAAGTTTGTGGAGAATGGAATTAAAAGATAATGGGATGTTTCCATTAATTTTAAGAAGTCCCCTTGAATAGTCACTTGTTCCTAAAAATATGAAACCATTGAATAAGTTCTTTCAGTATGTCTGATGCACTTATTCTTTAAGAAGGGAGACTTTAATTGGGATATTTCACAGCCAGGCATATAAAAATGACGAGATTTGTGAGTTTTTGGGGGGACAACCTGAGGATAGAAAAATACTTTCCAGAAAGCTATTTTAACTGTCATTAATGGTTCTAGTCTTAAAAGCATTGCTTTCTGAGAATAATCCTAAGTAATAAAATGACTTCAGTCCTTTTTTTTCCCCTGTAGAATACTTAAAGCGTTTAAAAACCCTATATAAATGATGCTCTTATGGAATTATGGGTATTGTTGCATTTTTATTATTTTCCCAGCCAGTGTTTAAGTTTGTTGTAGTTGGGGAAAACTGGCAGTTTGGGTATTTCTCATCCTGCTTACTAAGTAACTCACTACTCTTGACCATCAGTGGCCTTATCTATAAAGCCGAAACAGTGCCTGATACATTAAGCAATCACCAGATAATTTGAAATAAAAATGTCTCTTTTGCCTAACTCAGACATGTTAAGGACAAAAGGAAGTGGGCAACTGTTTCTTTAATTCACACATTATTATGGATCATTGTGGTGGTACAGTGATTCACTTGATAGGACTTTTCTAGTCATGGTCATTGTAACTCCAGATGACTGACTGGGACCATGCAGTTTGTTATCATTCAGCCATCACAGTTGTGACTGTTAGCAAGGTTCCTTAGGATCCCACTGGGTATGAAATGAGCTAGCTCAGAAGCAGAATGGGGGTGGGTAGGGTGATCAGGTGGGGATTTCACTTGAAGAAAGAAAGAAAGAGCCAAGAGTAGAGCCCTGCCTTTTAAAGCCCAAGATCCTGCAAAGTGAACCAGATCAATCCAAGATACAGAGAGCTGGACACCAAAGGTTGTCAGTGGCAACAGAACCAAGAGCCCCAGAGCACAAAACTGAGTGGTGGGCTTATCAGCCCACTGAGCAAATATAGCCCAGTGCCTTTGAGCAAGAGGCTCACTTGTAGAAAGGGATGTCACCAGGAACCTGATTGGGTGAGGAACAATTTGCTGACCTATGGGGCAGGAACTGAGAACCTTTGGACTGAGTCTTATGGTAGAGTGGTGTGCCCTTTATGCACTGAAGAGCTTTGTGATGATTACCCAAACAGGGTAGAGGTAAGAGACCATGTGGCTCAGAGTTTCTTGGACAGTTGGTGCCCAAATTGGTAAAGAATATTGAAGGATAGAGACACGTCTAACCTCCACCTCAGAGCTCTGAGTCAGCTTTGGGATGAATGTCAGATGTGAAATCAGAGGTCAGACATGGATGCATGGAGGTAGGAAGTCTGTCCTTCACAGAAAACTTCCCTCTGGGACTGGAAATTAATAGAGTAGGCCGGATTGGTATGCTTGCTCTTGACTAACATGTCCACTTGAGTGCAAGTGGAAGAGGCTCGCCAATGAACTGACAGGCTGAGTTTGGGCATGTTCCTTTGGCACCCATTGACCTGGTCCAGCAGCAAAAGGTGAAGAGGAAGGACTAGTTGGCCTTAAGTTTTAGGGAGTGTTGTGGGTTCCTGGAGGAGCCCTGGGGACATACAGAGTGGTTTCACATTGGACTGCTAACTGCAAGGTCAGTTGTTCAAAACCACCAGCCACTCCAGAGGAGAATGGAGGCTTTCAATTCCTGCAGAGGGTCTTGAAAACACACAGGCAGTGTGTTTCCTGAGAAACGTGTTGACTCCCAAGCTTGCAGCTGCTACCTATTTGACCTCACTTGGATGGCTAAGATGTTTGGCCAAAAGATGTTTGGCCCTATAAACATGTAAATCACTGCAGTTGGATGACTTTAGACTGGACTTTGCTTATGGATGCAAATGCTGCTGTCAAACCAGAATGAGGATTCTTCACATCCAGAACATGCTTGTCTCCTCAGTGTCCTGGGTTGACAGTGACAGGCAATTTAGAAAATGGGTATCTAAAATGGGGGTAAAGCATACACTTTCATGGCTATGCTTAGTCTCAGAATAAGGGGGGTTATGGGAGATAAGGGAGAACCCCTACTAATTTCCTCTTTTCCTGCTGCTTAGGGTGAGAAAAGATAGAATATGCTGGTAGGAATTTATTACTTCATTGTTAGGTCAGTTTTGCCATCCCGCTGCGTGTAAAAGAAGCCATCTCAGACACTGGAACCGGGGATCTCACAGGGAAGAACCAGGAAGGGAATGGGTCCTTTGGATCCCAAGATCCTTGTGTGCGGAACCTCTTCCATCCAAAAGTTGGAGCTGTGACACCAGTGGTATTTCTTGGGTGGTGGCTACAGAACCAAGAGCCAGAATGGTGGGGTCCTCAGCCCACAGAGGACCTGCTGAGTGGCTGCTGGCTGGTTCACTTGTGGGTGTAATGCCTACAGACAACTGCAATTGGATACATGAGGTGTAGCGACAGAGAGCTAGCGTTAAGTGGGCACTTTTGGACTGAGGCTTATAGCAAAGTGACATGACCTTTGGACATTTGCCAGTAGCAACTAAAGAACTATTGTAATATTGCACAAGCAATGTTGCCTGGTGGAGGTGGGGGTGGTAATGGCGCTACTGAGAGACCACAGGTCAAGAGGCCAAGGAATAGAGAGCTCTGTGTACAGGCAATGATGAGTAGAAGCACTCCAGACTGAAGAACTGCCTTGATCATTTCTGATGCTAAACTGGAACCTGACTTCACCAATAACCCCATTGATTACAAATTGTATGAGGCCATTGCAATGGCCCAGTAGAGAAATAGTATCTTTGTAAAAGGCAGCTGGTCAGAATTGGTAAAAGGTTGTAAGGTGGAAGGAGGTCTAATCCTCACCCATAGGAATCAACCATGGGCTATAGTTGGACTCTCACCATTCCTTATAAAATCACAGATCAGACATCACTTCTACACCAGGTAAAGAAAGTTCCTTTATGTAGCCTTTTGTGATAGTTCGTATGGCTCTAGAGGGTCCCTAAATCAGGGGTGGAAAAGTTTCTTTTTTGCCAAAGGTCAGTTGGATATATATATCACCATTCAGTGGCCATATGGCTCAAACACTGAATTCACTTACCTTCTAATGCAGGGGTCCTCAAACTTTTTAAACGGGGGGCCAGTTCACTGTCCCTCAGACCCGTTGGAGGTTTAAAAAAAACTATGAACAAATTCCTATGCATACTTTACATATCTTATTTTGAAGTAAAATAACAAACAGGGCAAAAACACCTGATGGGCCTGATAAATGTCCTAGGCGGGCCACATGTGGCCCGTGGGCCGTAGTTTGAGGACGCCTGCATCTAATGTGATAGCTGAAACTGCTTTGGTGAAGCATTTGATGTTAGCATTGATTTCTTGGGCCTTTATATGCCAGTTGACACAACATTCCCCAGCCGTACCTTAAACCAAGGAGTTAATCTTTCCCCTGATTTTATATCCTATGGGGTTCTACCAGCAGCTGGTTTGATACTATGTCCCAGGGCTGCAGCCTGCTGAGATTGAGATACACTCTTCAGGGATTGGCAATATTCCCAAGCAAATGAAGTGATTATACACTGCAGAAGTTACACTAGCCTATTAGGTAAATGAAGTATCCATGGTCATGAGGGTCTGGCCAGTTTGAAACTGCTTGGGGTGAGGCCATCCCTTAAAAGTGACAAGTATACTCCTCAGGTTAACCTGAGCCCTTTCAGGAAAAAGACAGCAGACAGGAAGCAGAAGAAAAAGCAAGAGAACTTAAAAGGGACCTCCTGAAAGAGCCTTACAACAGGTCAAGGGCTGTGGGCTGGCAGTGCTGTTTATGGCCCAGATGCAGACTTACCTGTTCCCAGAGGATCTGTAGACCTTCTAGACAGTCATGTTTTGTGATTGCCAATCCTAGCACCTACACCTGTGGTGATAATCCCAGTTTTGGACTATCTGCCGTGCTAATGAGCCAGGACTAAAGTGGATATAGTCTTTAGCTAAAGGATGTGACTCAATTCACAAGTCATCTGTTAATGGCTAGTTCCACAGGAGATGAGGCTTTCTATTCCCATAGTTACAATCTCAAACCAATAGGGGCAGTTCGACCCTATACTATGTTGAATCAGCTTGAAGGCAGGTTTTTAATGGTATGCAAATTAGCTGTCTTTGATATGTATTGAAATAAGAATTTATGGTTTTAAGCTGATCCCTTAATAGGCAAACCACCAGCTGCTTCCAGCTGCCTGCCCTATTGAGGCTAGATCTAGATCTGGCCGGCCCAAGGTGTACAGAAGTAACCAAAGTAACCTCTACTTAATTTTTTGTTATAAGCTAAAGATCACACCTGTAATAGAATCATTAGTAAACGCCATCTTTGTGACCCCAACCCACGCCTGCTTCCTAAGCGTGGACTAGTGCTGACTCACCTTGTGAGGACCATCAGATGCCAGTTACTGCCTAAGGAAACTGCTGGCCCAAGACCCACATAGCCATCTTGACCTGTGATGGATCAGTTTGCCTCCACCTGACTTCCAGTTCTTGGGACAATGAGCCCATTACCTGCCCTAATTCACCAGCTTCCACAAACTTCCAAGTCTACAAGCCTGATTTGATGTGCGGATAATTCTCCAGACATTTGAACTTCAGACTTGAGGCTTGCCAGCGTCTACCGATGAACGAACCATTTCTTTGACCACTGATGGATTCTGTGAGATGATGCATCAAGTTGTAGAACCCAGAGAGGGGTGACCTGAGGGGGGAAGTGGCGGTTTAGAGCACAACTAAAGGAGCAGGAGAACACCGGGGCCAAGTTGGACTTCTGGAACACCTTTACTTTCACCTCATTGAAACCAGCCTTGTACTAACTCTGCTAAATTTATGCAAGAGCAAGAGATTTGTCAGTGCAACTGAGGAAGCCTGGCCTACCAAGGGCTCTGGCTTGCAAAGCCAGAGGGCTTCCTCGATTGGGTGTGTGGTCCAGAGTAACTGAGAAAGTTCTGTCTAAATAGAGGGTGGGAGGGAGGGGGCGGAGTAAAGGGAGGGGTTATGGACACTTCGGTGTCCAATTTTGTCTACAGGCGTCCGAGTGTATTAAACCACCTAACTCTTAAAAATGGGCTGTGGGGCTCCTGCAATAAATTAGGGTTCCCAGCGAAGGTGAGTGCTGTAGGAAAGGCCTATGGGTATTGAGTTTTTTTAAAGTATGCCACATCTTTTTTCTCATTGTTCCTCATACAGTTGGACAAGTACTACTGCTTCTACCATTTTACAATCTCAATTCCTAGCCTTTAATGTAGTGCAATAAACAGTAGCTAATTTTTGGTACAAAAATAAAGTTCGCAGGGTTCTTTAGAAACTGATATACTAACAGTTGCAAAGATGTTTCAAATTGGTGGGGATGCACACAATGATCTGGTTTGCTGAATTTGCCAACTGCCACCGCATAAATGTCCCCACCACAACCATACTATTAAAAGCAAAATTGCCAAGTGTAAATTAGGAGCCATTGGGTACAGACTCATAAGCACCCGTGACCAGAGTAGAAATGTTGCCCAGGGCTATCCCTAGGTCTCTCGCAGGCCAGAGTACTCTAATCAACCTCTAAGATGGCAACTAATGCTTGACCCCTGCACCACTAGGGTTTCTGTGTGCTGGAATATAGCCAGCATCTTGTATATGAGGGGCCTCAGTTTGTGGACAGAATTAAGATCATTCTCTTTTCCCAAACTCTTTTAAGTCCCCCTTTCCTTATACAAAGGGGTACCCCCCACCCCAAAAAAAAACGATACTCATTTTTTTGACGCAAGGGGGATAGTGCATCTGGAGTTCCTTCCACCAGGTCAGACTGCTCTGAAAAGATTGCTGAACAGTGTGCGACAAAAAAGGCCCAATTGTGACAGACACGGACTGGTTTTACCACCATGACAATGCACATGGTTCACACAGCCATCTCGGTGAACCAGTTTTTGGCAAAAAACAGCATGTCTCCCTTGCCCTATGCACCTAACCTGACCTTGCTGTAATTTCAAGGGCGATTTGAAGAAGCAGAAGTGAAGAAAAAAAACGAGGTGCTATTAGCCATCCAAAATGAGTTTGACACAAGTTTCCAAGAATGCTATCGCAGATTTGACCAATGTATTAGTTGAAATGGAGAATACTTTGAAGGTGTTAAGGTTTCTTGGCAAAAATAAATAAATTTAAATACATAGCTTTTAAAAAATACCATGTTTTTGAACAACAAAAATACTGGGGTTTTTTGGTGTGTGTACCCCTTTATATACCATCACTTCACCAAATTCATTGTAGTAGTTTCATGTCCTTGTCATTATTTTGAACCTCAGCTTAGTTTTATCTGATATGCAGTTGTGAAAGTACACATTCCTTTGAACATTTAAAATTATTTTTTCTATTTTGTTCACTGGGTTTCTTTGGCTAGTCAAACATTTTAACATTCCCCCCTATCTACTTGTAAGCATACTGGCCAAACAAGCCATAGGGTGCTTATTAAACCAAATTTAGCCGTTCAAGCGACTATCACGCAGAATACTTAAAATACTCAAATTCAAGTTTTATTTGTAAAGCATCTGTATCAAAGAATGGAGGTAAATTAACTTTTAATGTAAACTACGAGGAGTCCTGATGGTGTAGTGGTTACGTGTTGGGCTGCTAACTGCACAGTCATTGGTTTGAAACCACCAGCTGCTAACCAGAAAAAAATGTAAACTACGAAAGGGCCAACCAAATTCAACTTATGCTTGATAGTGAACAATTTACTATGTAAAACAGAAGGTAAATTATGGGAGAAACCCAGAGTATACAAAAACTTCTAGTCATTTTGTATTAACAATCTTTGAGCACTCAAACACTTTTAAAGGCCATTTTTAGAGTAAAATGAGGGCTAAAAATTACTTTTGAAAATATTTAGTATGTTTTCACTAAAATTAAAAATACCATTTACAAAATGAGGCAGCAGGAAAAGCAAACTGGCTCTACGATTTACTTGACTTAAAACTTACCTCCCCTTCTGAAATGAGGTCAATAAACCCTGTGCTTAAGAAGTATTAGATTATACCTGTAAAGTAATTACAGTATTCACAGTAACTGTCCAATAGGTATCATGGGCAGAAAAGAAAACCCATTACAATACTTAATAGTAAAGCCTATTAAAATTTAATCTCACAAAATCTTACTAACCTTAGTCTTTTTAAGCTTTTAAACTAATGAGAGGTATTCAATCCCTTTGGGTACGTATCGTAAATTCCAACACCTGTGCCTGCAGTTATAATCCCATTTTGGAAGAGCCACTATAGTTTATGGGTGGGATGTACCACCTTCACTTTACTAGAAACTGTAACTTACTCCTTTGTTTTCTTTGTGGCTTCAGTCAACTAAAAAACCAAACCTCCATCAAAGCTTTTTCCTTTTGTGACCTCTTTCCTAACATACTTCCTTTTCCTGTCCCTGACCTCTGGTTCTTGAGTTTCTACCACCTGACCTGGTTTCACTAAGTTTTTAAAACCTTGTGTATAAGAAGGGTCAGCACAATTCTGAACTTCCAGTTTGGAACTAACAGCACCCATAACTATGTGGTCTTCCTTTAAGTTTCTGGAGATATTGCAGAGAACTACAGAATCCAGGGGCCAGAAGGAATACTAAGAGGAAGTGCAGGGATGGGGGTGGGAGTGGTACAGTATTTTGGGAAAGATGGACACTTGGGATATCTCTAATCTCCACCTTCTTGGGACTCGGTTGGTATTAATTCTTCTAAAAGAAATTATTACTACAACTACTAAATAAAAACTCAGTTAAAAGTTTGTATTATCAATAAATCAGAAAATCTATCCATTTATAATTCCTCCCACCCTAAGCCTGAGAAAGTTCCTTTGCATTTCTAATTACATTTTTTAAGGAACACTGAGTTAAACTCATCAATTTGCTTGATGAGATGTTGAAAAATTCATATTTACATACAGCATTTTACCCTATTTTATGTTGTTTGGTTCCTCTTACCATATTATTTTAATGTAGTTGTTGAAAAACTTCACAATACCCAGAGGTAATTCTTTTTTTCCTTCTTATACAAATACAAATTGGTTTATCCATTCAGTTCCAAGTTTTTATTTTTACAAAGATTTGCAAAGTTATGAACATGGAAATTGTAACATCTTCAAAGCTTCTTTCCCCCCACATAACAGATTCACAGTCAATTAACTATCATGTACTTTAACAGAAGAAACACAGTAATATCCCAAAAAGGGGTGAAGGCAGGTAGCAATGAGAATGCCACGCCTGAACAGTTACTCACTGACCATTTTCTTAGTTTGAGTAAAAGTCGTAGACTACAGAATAGGAACCAAAACGAATATAAAACATATCTTCCTTATATACAACTATTTTGTACAAATCTTGAGGTTTATCCAATACATCAGATATGAACTCAAATTCTCCTAAGGAAAATGTACGTACTTTTAAATCAGAAAATGTGTTTGGTAGATTGCAAGCAAAAAGAAACCTAAGGATTACATTCTACTATTTACATTTGTTCTATTCACAGTTCAAACAGAAATGTTTTTCTTTAGATAAACACTTAAAAAATACAACTTACTGCATCAATACTGTTGGGAGGTTATTTCTGAATTTTAAAATGCTCCCTAAAGCAAAATCAACTTAACTTTTCGTGGGCCAACTGGCCTATCATTTAGATCTTTAATAGCAGCCATAGCTTCATTATAGTTTATCATAGTAACAATGGCTTCCCCTATAGGCAATCCTTTCTCATTATACTGTATTGAAACGGATTCTGGTATGACTTTATAGCCATGAAAAAAGTCTAAGATTTCATTAACATTCGCTTTAAATGGAAGATTCATTATCTTAACAGGAGTTATTCTATCTGAACCACAATTTAATTTTGGTTCAGGCATAAATCTCCCCTCAGGAAAACCCCCCATATTACGCTTTCCAAAATCAAACTTGCCACCTTCCGGGCGACCGAAGTTCACGAAAGGGCGATGGCTTCTAAAATCATCAGGTGCGTTCCTAAACTCTTCACCAGGTGGTCTAAAATGATCAGCTAGTCTGGGACCCTCCTCCTGTGGTCCCCCAAGATCCTCCTCGGGGAGCTGCCTGAAGTCTTCATCAGATGGACATGGGAAATCTTCCCGGGGGTTCCTGAAGTCCTCATCAGGAGGGTGCCTAAAATCTTCATCCGAAGGGCCCCTGAAGTCTTCATCTGGTGGGTATCTGAACTCTTCCTCTCGGGGACCCCGGAAATGCTCTTGGGGTGGTCGCCGGAAATGCTCTTGGGGTGGCCGCCGGAAGTATTCCTGGTGTTGCCGACGAAAGTACTCCTGGGGTGGCTTCCTGAAATGCTCCTGGGGTGGGCGCCGGTAATGCTCCTGGGATGGGCGCCTGTAATGCTCCTGAGATGGGTGCCGGAGGTGCTCCTGGGGTGGGCGCCGGAAATCCTCCTCAGGAGAATGCCTGAAATCCTCCTCATGGTATCGCCTGAAGTCCTCCTCATGGTATCGCCTGAAGTCCTCCTCAGGTGGTCTTCTCCAGTCTTCATCAGGTGGTCGTCTATAGTCTCCTTCAAGGGGTTGCCTCCAGTCATCCTTGGGAGGACGTCTGAAATCCTCCTTGAATGGCCTCCTCCAGTCTTCAGAAGATCGCCTCCAGTCATCCTCCCGAGGGCGCTTAAAGTTATCCTCAGGCCTTCTGAAGCGCTCCTCCCGAGGGCGCCTGAAATCATCTGGAGGGCACCTGAAGTCCTCTGGCGAGTGCCTGAAGTCTTCTAAAGGGTGCCTAGCAGGTTCTCTGAAATCTTCCTGGGGATGCTGGAAGCTGTCCAGGTTTCTCTCGTCCTCCAGTTGATGTCTAGTAAAGTTTTCAAAAGACCCAACTGAATATTCCAGTGGTTCTTTTGAATCAAATGAATGGGAATGGTCATCTCTACCATGTGACTGTGAACGATCTTGCATATTCTCATCGGACATCATGGGAAAATCTATACCAAACTCCTGCATTTGTGCCTCAGATATAAGTCTCAGCAATACCTCTGTCCCCAAGAATCTTCGCCGGTTTAAGCTTTCAGCTTTCATGGCTTCTTCTTCTGATCTAAATTTCACCAATGCTTCGCCCAAACCAACTCCCTTGTCATCATAAAACAAGTAAATGTCATCATCCGTAAGAGAAAAATCTGCAAAAAACTTTTGCACTTCAACTTTTGTGACATCAAATGGAAAATTTCTTATATATATGCAAAGCTTTAGACCAGGATAGCCTTCTTGAGAATATTTCTGAGAGACATGGCCAGGTCTCTCTTTCTCTATTGGTTTTTTCATGTCATAATATTCCATTAATTTCAGCATTCTTTTTTTAGAAATTGGGTCAATATAAACAGGACGGTACTGTACAACAGTCTTATGTAAAGCCAGAGCAGAATAAAAGTCTCTCAGCGTCTTGAACATCACCAATGCATGCCGTGTCCTTTTGTCATCCTTATATAAGAAAGTAATCTGTTCGTTACTCAGATCAGTAGCTCTAAAGAAATTTTTAATATCTCTCTTGGTAATATTTAGAGACAGATTTTTTAAGTGAACATAATTTCCAACAGGGGAACGAGAACGAGTTCTTCTGGGAGATTTTGAATGTGACCGCTTTCGAAAATGTCTATCACTAATTCCTCTTGGTGGAGAATGTTCTTCAGAAGGAATGGCATCCAACTTCCCACCACACTGAGTCCACTGTTCATCTGAACTTTGCATTACTTCTATAAATCTTGAACCCATAAAACTTCTATGGCATTTAAGACCTCCTGAAGCATCAATACATGAAGCAAACTTTACTATGGCATCACCATTATTTCGGCCATCATGATGTTTTAAGAAAATTACTCCATCCACACATAAACCAGCAAAAAAGACACGTACGTCATCTTCGTTTACTAGGTACGGCAAACCCCGCAGAAATAAGTAAGGATTTTTGGCTCTCACTGGCCGTGTCCTTGACTTTAAATCATCACGTTCTGTACCATTAGCATGAAACTCAGCCTCTGAATATCCAGAGTTATTTGCATCTTCCTTAATTTCCCCTACAAAATTAGACATTGTTCCAGCCCTTGCTCCTCCAGATCCTGGTCGCTCTCTTCCTGTACGATCAGTTCTTTTCATGTCTATAATCTTCTGCATTTCTGCCCTGCTACTAAGGAAGAGCTCTACAGAAGAATCCTTGATAAGTCCTCCCGAACGGCTTACGGCACGTCTTGCATCTTCATCTGTTGCAAAAATAATAAAAGCCAGCCCAACTTCCCCTCCAATTATATGCACTCCTCCATCAGGAATAGTCAATCCCTTGAAGAACTGACGGATATCCACAGGCCCCGCAACAAAAGGAAGCCCCAGTAAACGGATGACTACAGCCATGCTGAGCTCAAACAACAGCAATAATGACCTGCAGACAAAAAGGTACACATAATAGCAAATCTTATTTTTGAAGTACCTTATCCCAAACTAAGCTTAATAATTACTTATCTCCTATTTCCTCCAGAATTTATAAATACAACAAGATACAAATTCACAAAAATAATGACCCTATCTAATTCCTGAAAAAACAAAGAATAAATTTTCTCCCATCTAAACATACAATAAACAACTAACTACCTTGAACAAACATTTCATATCACTTTTCCTATACGGTATAAACATCAAAAATTTCAAATCTCCCCTTCTAAATAAGCCAAAGTTGCTTCACCACAAGACCAAGCTATTTTCAGATTCACTTAGCAACATACTATCTACTGAAACTTAAGAGATTTGTGGATTAAAAAGTTTACAAGCCATGATGAATTTTCATTATTTAGAAAAGCCATCTATGGTCAATATATAATTTCTGCCTGTGAAAATAAACTGTCTACCACTAGCACATCACTGGCCAAGACATAAAAAACAGTAACTATGTATACTCAAAAAGTACTATTCTATTTTGTGTGGGGCTTTTGTTTTTTTTTTCCAAGCCTCTGTAAAGCTTTAAGCTCTATATATCTTACCTTTTAAAATTTCTTGGAGACCTGTTAATTCTGTAAAATCCACTTAACTGTGGAAAGAAAATGAAATATAATTAATCCTTGGCACCTTGTAGTTGATCTCAAATAACTCCAGATTAGGGCATCCATTTCAGAATGGAATACAAACGAACAAAAAGAGAAAGTCCCAAACTGTGCTAGCAGCCAATTCCAACTTAAAAATCATCCCATGTGTTACAGTGTAGAAATGCTCCATAGATGTTCTTGGTTGTAATCTTCCTGGAAGCGCATTGCTCAGGTTTTTTCTTCTAAACCACCACCAAGTGGGTTTGAACCACCAACCTTTGACGTTTATAGATGAGCACAGGCCAACTGTACCACCCACGACCCAACCAAAGCAATGTATAATTAGCTGCCATTGAGTGAATTCAGATTCATAGTTCCTAGGTTTGCAAGAGCAGACAGCTTCATCATTCTCGGGTAGGGCAGTTGTTGGGTTGTCACCAGCACACCTTAAGGCAGTATAAGGGACCACAATTATGGGCATCACAAAATGGTCTACTTTGTTTCAAGGAGAAATTCATTATTCTTCATCTACAGCAAAAGGGTCCGAGAAATACAAACTCCAAAATGATACCTGCAAATTCTTTAAAAACAAAAACTTGCTGAAAACTAATACAAAACAAAACGGCTCTAACAAAGAGTACAAGAAATATTCTATATTTTGATTGGAATGGTGGTTGTATGGGTGTAATGCTTTATCCAAACCCATTTAATTCTATCCTTTAAAGTCTATGTATTTCACTTCATACAAATTAACATCCACTAAAAAGACCGCTTTACACGTAAAATAGGAATTTAAAAGTACCCAAAACCATTCCATTACTTCCACTAATAAAAAGACCATTTAGTTCATATCGATACCCAACTTCTCTGCCACCTTCATCCTTTTCAAAACATATCAAATATAAGGTAACCACTCAAAACTGTGTAACTACTGAATATAACACCCCAACATTTGAAGCTGTGAGGATAGGGTAGAATTGCCCTGAGTCTGACTGCTAAACCCTTACAGGAGTAGAAAGCTTATTTTTTTCCCAGAGCAGCTGGTGGTTTCAAATCACTGACCTTGAGGACCACAGTTCAACACATAACCACTACGCCACCAGGGCTCCCCATTATCAAGGTAGAAAAGTACATTACCTAGACTATTAGAAGATTACCAGTTTTTACTACTGAAAAAAACCTAAGCTTTTGTTTCATTTAGGGAAATATATCTAATACTTTCAAAATGCTGTAAAATATATAATGAAGTTTTACCAAATTACCAAGTTTTAAATATGCTCAATTACCAGTTATGCATTTATGCTTTTATATATGAATAAGTTATGAATAAGTGTACTTAATTTAGTACGTCCACTTTAAGTTTTACTGTTGCTGTTTGTTTTTAAGTATTACTGTTGTTGTAGGAAGAGGGATTTGAAGACATTGTTTGGGTCTAACAGGTTTACTTTCTGTTAAAATAGGCCCGAAAACAAAGCCTTTCTCAGACAATAACTAGCACCTTCTACAGCTCAATTTCCAATGCCAATTTACTTAGGTTTACTATAAAAGTATTTTGATAGCACCACCACCAAAAAAGGGTGCAAATGCAATCCCTTTACCAGTTCAACAAAAGCTATTCAGTTAATGGCTTTTGGAATAGTCCAGATTAAAGTTCAAGCTCCTTCCTATGCAAATTGCTAAACATATTTCTAAAAGCAGGAGCTGGTATAATTCTGTCCCTAAATTCTACTTTTAAAATTTGAAGAGGGATTTATCAAGAGAACATACATTAATCTACAAAATTTAAAAATTAGGGACACCCCCCTAAAATAATTTATTAATAGTTTTAAAAACTAGGGACAAACGTTTCAAGGAATACTTAATTACATCTCAAATTCAAAAACTCCCTACAAATTAATTTATCCTACATTTAAAGCTATCCTTTAATTAAGTAGTCCCATGAACAGCCCAATTTCACTTCAAGCAACTATATAGTTTATGCTAATTTCCCAACGTTAAAGCTAATGCTTCAACTTATAATGGCCTTGACATCGTAGGCTAATAATGCACATTTATCCCTTCAGTAATTAACACCCCAGAAAGCATTGGAAGAGATCAGCTCTCAAAATGACCACTTCCGCTAGGATCCCAATATACTATTTCCTTAAACAAATTCCTTTAAAAAATGCTACTCAGAGAAAAGGAAATTAAGCATAAGCCACAAACACACAAAATACCCTTAAGCACCTGTGACTTAAATTTTTGCCACAAACGCTGCGACATTCCACTTCGTCCATTTAAAGACGGTGATCTGCTAGAAATTACAATCTATGGCAGAAAAACGGATACCGAAAAACTCACTGCTACTGAAATGAGTAAGCTCACGTTAGATACATCTGATTTTACCCAGAGATTGAACCCACTTAAGTGAAACACGCATCTTCCAGTTGAAGGAGGCGGCGTTTAACTATTTATCGCAGGGCCATTTGATTGATTTCTCAGGCTTGCTGAGAGAAAGAAGTCTTTTCGTGGTCTTGCGACTCTTGGACGTACGGATGTCAGCGCAATCGGATTTTAAAGACGAGTTGCCAGTGCCCCAAATCATCGACCCTAAGACAGTAAGACTGTAGACAGTTGAAGCGCGGAGGCGTGACGACACCGCGATGATGCCCCGCAGCCACGGTCGGGGGCGTCCAGGCTTTGCCCCAACATCCACCCTCCTCCGGGGCGGCTCCTCCGCAGGCAGCGGTCCTCCGGCCCGAAGCTTTGCTCCACGCTCCCAGTCAGCGCTTCCGCCGATCGCGCCAGGCCCACGTCGCGGGGAGGATCCGACGCCGTCGCCAGGCCGGCGGCCAACATCCGCCGCCTTCGAGTGAACCTTAACCGCCCAGCCGCCCAGCCTGGGCGTCCCGCGGCCCCCGGGGCACACATTCCGTCACCCGACCTCGTCAGCGGGACCTGCCTCCCGGCGGACGCAGCACTCCGGCCCCCGCGAACCTACCGAGCCAGCCGCCACCACGGACGGAGCCACAGTGCAAAGGCAACACCCACGGAGCCCTCCTCAAAACCGCCGGGGAGAGCGCGGGCGCGAGCCGGCGCCCACAGCACGCGCGGACTGACGCCAGTCGCCGCGCCCCGGAGAGAAGGGCACCCTGACAACAGGAGCCGCGCTCGGGGTGGCGCGGCCGCCGGCTCCGCCTCCTCGCTCCTTCCGGGCCCGCGCCGCGCCCTCCCCCGCCCCGGCCCCCGGAGGGGAACTGCTCCGCACTCGGCAGTACACACACCCACTGCTGTCGGGCAGAGCGCGCACGGCCGTGCGCTGGGCGGCACTCCTCGTCGCAGCCTCCCCGACGCGGAGGGTCCTCGGTGAGCCCCGAAGAAAATGGCGCCCGCTCGCTTCTCCGCTCCGGACAAACAGACCAAAAGCTCGCCCATGCGCTTCTCAGGCGTCAGCAAGCCCCCGAGCGCCTTCGCCGGGTGTGCGCAAGCGCCCTGCCGTAACTCGCTTCCGGTAGCTAAGGGGTGGGAGGCGGAGCCTGGCGAACGCGCCAACCCCTTCCGGAGTCGCCTACGTTTCCGCGCCTGCTCAGATGTCCGCCAATCCGGGGACTCCGACCCGGAAGAAAGCGAGATTCAGCGCCTAGGGAGTCGCCGTTGGGTTGCTGTGGGTTCCATAACTGCCAAAATGTGATGGACGAGATGTCCGAGACTAAAGGAAAGACATGCTAAAGGAAAATTGAATATTGATGTGCCTTTTCAGCGTTACTACTGAAAAACTTTCATTGTTTTGTAAACTAAAAGGCCACAGAAACTTTCGTCTGACCTGTTCCCCAGGGACAATGCTAACACCGTGGTGCTTAATAAATGCATCTTTATTCCATTCTGTAGACAATAACAATTGCGTAAATAAGTGCCTTTATACATTTGGTGATTCCCATCCTCAGGCTTTGTGAAACAAGAACAGATGAGGTAGCCCTAAAAATTGGGAAGTGAAAATGTGCAAAGTGCATGCGCTTGCAATCTTGTATTTGGTTTTATTTTGTTATTTGTAAATAACAAGACAGCCTGACAAGTAATACAGCTACATGATGCATTTGTGAGTAAATTCACTACGAAAGCAGAAACTAAATTTTTAAAAATACTGCCACTGGTGAAAGGGGAAAAAAGATAAATTTTGAATTTCTGCAATATACCCATGTTTTAATTTTGATTATGCGTATTTGGATAGAGGTAATTCAAGAGAGGAAACGATGGCTCCCAGGCTTGGGAAAAATTCATTGTTTCTCATCTGTAAAACAGGATAGTAAGAGTACCAACTTTGGGAGGCTCTAAAAGGTACGGAATGAATTTATGTATCTAAGACTATAAATTTGTTAATGACTAGGTTCACATGTCAAGGTGGTCCATAAAGATGCGAAGGGATCTCAACTTGGAAGGCTGGACTTAATGACTAAGTAACATGCTGATATTCCCCACTGTGGGGTACCAGCCTCCACAATCTAAGGGGTCCAAGGGCCGGTTGTGTAATTGAGGGGTAAAATTAAAGAGACATCAGAGAAGATAAAGCATGCAAGTACTCACCTCCAGGACCGCCATGACTTCAGGTGCCAGATCCACACAGAGAGAAAGAGTATATTTCCAACTAAGGCTTATATACACTCTAGGGGCACACCAGTCTGTCATTACACATAGGTAACCATATGCATAACAGGAAGAGTTGTACAATAGGCATATTCGTGATAGGAAGGCATACACATAACAAGAAGATGGCAACCTAGCCTTGGTCCTCCCTGAATTGTCTTAACCTTAGGTATCTGGGTTCTCCTTCAAGGGAACAATCCATTATCCTTATCAGAAAAGAGTGGGACCCTACGTAGGGTAGGACAGACTATTATAGGGTCCAATTGCTCTAGATGGATTATAACCTTGAGGCAGATAACCTTTAAGCAGTTGACCTCCAAGTGTATAGTCTGTGTTTGCAGACAGAACCTTAGGTTTGGCATATAATATGGGAGGACAACCTGGGAGTAACTTTTCTGTTTCCCACACCCCACAGCCTAGGGTTTGGTCCTTGCCTTGAAGGCTCAGAAAACTGATCTTAGAAGTTAACGGTTTTAAGGTTTATTATGTACCAGGTCCTGTGTATGATTTTATTCTTAAAACTACCTCTTAAAGTAGGTACTATTTTCGTAGTTCACAGAAAAAGGGAACTGAGGCACAGAGGATTGCACAACTTGTCTAAGGTCACTTTGCTAGCATAAAATAAAAGGACTTGAACCTCTACTCTCTTACACTGGGAGGAAGATTCTTCCCACTGGAGCCGACTCCCTTTGAACATGCATAGAGTACATAAGGAGGTACTCCCCCCGCCCCCAATGGAACAAAGCTTCTCTGGGCAGAGCTTTCTTAGTATGCACATTTTCCCCACTAGAGAGCATCAAGCAACTTGTTCTGAATGAGTGCATCCAGTGGCATTGCCTGGAAAGGTTCTCTATGGTCACATTGAATTTTTTCATGATAGCAGTTTTGCTCAAACCTCATGTTTTGGGATGACTGATTTAAGAGAACAACATGCAGCTGTGAAATTTTGTTTCCTGCTCGGGAGAAACGCCGCGGAAACCGTTGTGACATGGAACACAGCTTACAAGGACAGCGCTATGAGAAAACTCAAGTGCAGCAGTGCTCTTCGCTTTTCAAAAAGGGTGAAATTGATGGCAAACCTCATTCTGCATGTCTGTCAACTTCTCAAAGGGATGAAAATGTCAACTCTTAGTGCCTTGGGAGCTCGTTCCACCAGGTCAGATTGTTAAACAAGCATTCCATTTAGAGGTTCTGAAAACATTGCCTAACAGTGTGCAACAAAAAGACCTGATTTGTGGCAGATGGGGGATTGGTTTTGCCACCACAACAATGCACCTGCTCATACAGCCATCTCAGTGCACCAGTTTTTAGCCCCAAACAGCATGCCTTTCTTGCCCCATGCACCTGACCCACTTAACCTCACTCTGTGTGACTTCTTTTTGTTTCCATGAATGAAGGGGGACATGAAAGGACAGTGATTTGATGATTTAGAAGAGCTGAAGAAAAAAACAAGGGAGGTGCTATCAACAAGCCAGATGAGTTTGGAAAATGTTTCCAAGAATGGAATCACAGATTTGACAAATGGATTGTACTTTGGAGGCGATAAGTTGTTTTGTAAAAAAAAAAAAAAAAATTAAATGCATGGCTTTGAAAAAAATCCAGTTTATTTTGGGTACTCCCTCATAGCTCCATAGTGTAAATACTAATTCAATATTAAATAATTTTGACAGGAAGATTAGGGATAGAGTGGGTTATTTCCACCAAATGCCTACACTAAATGAAAATTATCTGGCCATACCACAATAAAGGGGTTTGAAAGAAATCAAACACACATTAGAAACCTAAGGGGACGGTCCAAACTGGCAGTGCTCAGACCAAGGTCACCTAGGTGCAGATGAAGGTCAACGTGGCATGCACCCTTGGCACCAGTAACATTAAGTCACACGTGCGCCCAAACTCAGCCACTAAGATCTGCCAGTGCCCTCAACCTCTCTCTCAGGTTGGAGGGCAGGGTTTCTCCAGTGTACACGCTCCTTCCTCTTCCCTTTGTGCTTCTGGCACTCGGTGTCCCACGTGGCTTTTCGAGCTCTCACGAAGCAACCAATTTCCCTTCAAAACTCTCCCAAGGCTCCTGTCAGGTGGCCTTACACGCTTTCCAGAGAGAGCGTGTACTATCTGAGACTGTATCACTCAAAAATTCCCTTTCCCTCATAAAAGTTACTTGGATTACAAAAAAATAAATAAAAAACAACAACCACCAAAAAAAATTACTTGGATTACAAAAGTGCTTCTGCCACGTGACTTCTTTCAGCACTGAGAAGGGAGAACCAGGAAAAACCATCCCAGAACCCTAACAATTGAACAACTCATGAGCAGAAACATCCCAAGATTCAGATCAGACAGACAAGCATTTTCCTGGCCTATAGATCCCAGCTACATCACAAATTCCTTATCCTTAGATTTCTCTGCGTGAAAAATGAAATAAATAGTGCTCATTATAAAGGGCCATTGTGTGGGCTAAATTGTAAATCTAAAAGTTATGCACTATCATTGCTATATTTATGCTATATTCTTTTGGCTGCCATCCAGTCCCTGGTATGGGCTCCCAATGAAGAAGCAAGAGGAACGCCTACAAATCTCAAAAGCAAACTCCAAGGACTGAGAATTGAACAGGATGCAAAAAATGTAAAATCTAAAATACCATGTCATGTAGGCAAAAAAAAGAAAGAATAGAAATTCTATCCTTTAGGACATTGTGGCCCTGACCTTAAGCCACATTGGTTCTCGGCCCTGTTCCCAGGGATGAGATGAAGGGAGAAAGCATTGAACTGCCCTTAAGTTTGGAAGATGGCAATAACTGCAGAATAAGGAAAAAGAGTAAAGTTTTGATTTACTTCCTTTTCAACAGATGTGAATTAAGTATTTGAAACATGTTATGTACATCACCAGGTGGTACAAGGAACATGACCTTTGCTCCCAAGAAGATCCAGTAGATCTTCTTCCAGCAGATGAAAGGAAAAAACGATGGATTACTCAGCTAGACCGAAAACAACAGGGATACCTACCCACTGCCATTGAGTCTGTTGCCACTCAGAGCAACCCTATAGGGCAGAGTAGAGCTACTTAAGGCGGGGGTCCTCAAACACCGGGCCCGCGGGCCACATGCAGCCCGCCGAGCATATTTATCTAGGCTGCCGGGTGTTTTTGCCCCGTTTTGCTTTTTACCATAA